TCATATTCTCTGTCAGTGAATAGCTCTGGAGCACAATATTCAACAGTGCCACAGAACCCCAACACCATCTGTCCATCTGTGACTCTGATGGCCAGGCCAAAGTCACACAGTTTGATGTTCCCTTTGCCATCCAGCAGTATGTTATCTAGTTTGATGTCCCTGTGAGCAATGCCATTGTTATGGCAATAGTGAACTGCACACACCACCTGTGTGAAGATGTGCTGGGCCTGCTTCTCCTGCAGACATCCCACCTTCTCAATATGGCTCACCAGGTCTCCGCAGGCAGCATGTTCCATCACCATATAGGTGTGTTCTCTGGTATTGATGATGTGGAACAGCTTAATGATGTTTGGGTGCTCTAGCACCTTAATGATGTCAATTTCATTCTCATTGTTAGGCTCATTGATGCCTTTTTTCAGGATCTCAACAACAACCTGCATCTCTCTTTGGAGGTGGCAGGCCAGCTTGACCTCAGCATAGCCCCTTTTGCCAAGGGTCCTGAGTATTTTGTAATGATCTATAAGCGTTTCCTCTTCAGAGGTGCTGGCTTCCAGGTCTTGCTTCATTGTCTCCTCCTCTCTGGTCTTGCTCTTATGTTGCATGACAGTTTCCATGCTCAACACCAGCTGACAAAAACAGATTGAAAACAATTAAAAGTAGGTCTAGGTGGAAAGTTTATCTCTTTCCATTTCTATGTGAAGAAATGGAGAGGCATGATACAAGTTAAAATGTCCTCTAGATGCATAGAAAAATATGAATAAACTAAACCCCAAAGAAGTACCTTTTGGAGTCCAAGATGGTAACGATCTGCTCCCACCACTTTGGGTGTGTGTGTGAAGATCTGAAAGTTCGAGACTGATGAGTGGAGGGGCAGCTGAATTCAGACATGAACTTGGAGGTGTTCCTGGAGAGAGGGTACAACCTGTGAGCTGGGACATTTTGGATCCAGGTCACTGTGGACATCTCTGTGCTCTTAGGATGCTGAACATTCGACACCCTGCACTTTCCCTTGTCCCCTAAACGGGCCTCCCTGCTTGTTGACTGAGTCTGCAGAGGCCAATGCCTCACATATAGGCTGGCACCACTGATGCATCTACTACACTTTCCTTTGCCCTTGTGGGCCCAAATCTGAGACCAGAGAACAGGGGGAACCTCTGTCTTTTCTGATTAAGCCTGTGAGTAAGTGAGTGTGCTTTCAATTGAGTGTGCACAGAGTACCAGTTCCAGGGTCCTTCTATGCTAGCAGTCAGATTATCGGATCCCTCCGACCCACACCCCAACTCTGGGCAACATTTGGACCCTTGGGACAGTGTTCTTAACGCTGAAGCCCTTGTTCAGTGGGTATCCGAGTGGAGTCCAGGCAAACAATTACTGGAGCCAAGCTTCCAGATAGATCTGAATTTCTGGAGAACAGTATGAAAGGCCTGTGTGCCACTGAGGCATTCATGGCAACTGCACATGTGCATTGCATATGCAAAATGCACCAGCATCCCCACCTGCGCTTACATTCCACACTTTTTGGCATCTACACACACTAGCACCTGGTCCTTCAAGGCACACTTGCATGCACACTCAAATGCTTGCACACATGCACCTGAGACCTTCTTCCCTTAGTGAGAGCTGAAACACAAGGATCCACTCTCAAACCAGTTGACCTCTCTCATCTTCCTGAAGACTACTCCAGACTGCATTCCAAGATGGACCCAGTCTGCAGTACAGGCTCCAGGAACAAACAGTGAAGGTTATGGATAAGCAGATGTCTAGAGGAACACATCCAACAAAAATCAGGACATCAAGGCTTCACCAGCAACCCCCAAAATCAATGGATATTTTAATTACTCAGAAACACAGGAAAATGATCTCAAATCTATGCTTATCCAGTTATTAGAGGCACATAAAGAGGAAATGAACAAAGCTCTCAAAGAAATACAGGGAAATACAGCCAAACAAATGGAGACACACGTAGAGGCACACAAGAGGTATAAAAAGAGGAAACAAACAAAAAATAGAGGCCATCATGGACAAACAGAAATCCAAATAGAAACAGATGAAGGAAATGGTGCAAGATATGGAAATGGAATTAGAATCAATAAAGAAAACATATACAAAAAAGTCTCTTGGAGATGGATAACCTAGAGAAGAGATCAGAAACCACTGAGGTATGCATCACCAACAGAACTGAAGAGATGGAGGAGAGAATATTTGGTGCTAAAGACACAATTGAAGAAATCAATACATCTCTCAAAAATGACATAAAATCAGAAAAAGGTTTTGACACAAAACATCCAAGAAATCAAAGACACCATGAAAACACAAAACCCAAGAAATAGGTATTGAAGAAAAAGAAGATTCCAGGTCCCATAGTCCAGAAACTATTTTCAAGAAAATCATAGAAGAAAATTTCCCAAACTTAAAGGAAGAGATTTCTATACACACAAGAGGCATACAGAATACAAAATAGACTGGGCCAGAAGAGCAACTCCTCATGTTATAGAATAGTCAAAACAAAATCTACAGAACAAAGAAAAAAATATTAAAAGCAGCAAGAGAAAAAGGCCAAGTGTAACATATGATGGTACACCTATCAAAGTCCCACCAGACTTGGACAGATGTCATGCAGAATATTAGAGACCACAGATGCCAACCCAGACTGCTATACCCTGCAAAACTTTCAATCAACATAGATCGAGAAAGTGAAGTATTTCATATCAAAACTAAACTTAAACAATATCTATACAGCAACCCAGCCCTATGGAAAATAGTAGAAAGAAAACTGCAATCTAACAAAATCAACTACTCCCAAGGAAACAGATACAGATAACTTCACAACAAAAAATTTAAAGGAATCAAGCACAGAAAGACAGTATCACCACCAACTCCACAATAAAAGGACTTACCATTCATTGGTCACTATTCTCTATCAACACCAACAGACTCAATTCTCCAATAAAAAGACACAGACTAACAGAATGGTCGCAAAAAACAGGATCCAACATTTTGCTACATCCAAGAAACACAGCTCTGCATCAAAGATAAACATTACCTCAGAGTAAAGGTCTGGACAGAGGCTGTTTAAGCAAACAGACCCAGAAAACAAGCTGGAGTAGCCATCGTAATACCTAATAAAATAGATTTTCAAACAAAATTAACCAATAAAGATGAGAAGGGACACTTCATTCACATCAAAGCTAAAATCCACCAGGAGGACATCACAATTCTGAACATCTTTGCCTCAAATACAAGAGCACCTGCATTTGTAAATAAAACTAATAATGCTGAAATCACACATGGATCCCAACACCTTAATAGTGGGAGACTTCAACACTCCATTCTCACCAAGGGACTGATCATCTAGACAGAAACTAAATAAGGAAATAATGACACTTACAGAGGTCCTAAATCGAATGGACCTAATAGATGTCTACAGAGCACCACATTTCTAATTTTTTACTCTTAAACTAAACCTCTGTAGTCCAGGTGTTTGAAGATACTTGCTATGATTAACTTCATTAACCATATCCTCACCTCTCTAATTCTGTTTGCCTAGATGGTAACTTATGTTTTCTGTGACATCTATCTCATCTGAGAATTTCTAATTATCTATTTAGTGCTGTAGTACATTCATGTATCCTGTCACTTAGAAGGTGGAGGCAATAGGATCCCAAGAATGATGTCAGTCTTGTGATATTGTCCTAGTGTAATTTCTATTACTGATAGACATCATGACAAAAATCAATGTGTGGAGAAAAGAGGTTATTTGGCTGACATGACCTGATGCATGTCCACCATTTCAGGTAGTTAGGGCAGGAGTTTAAGCAGGAGCAGATACTGTCAACATGGAGAAAATCTGGCTATGCTTCCTCTTTATGGCTTACTTGCTTTACTTATGCAACACAGCC